GAGAAAAATGGTTTGCAAAGTCCCATCCCCAGTATTACCAAGCAGAGCACAGAAGAGCATGTTTGCTTCTGAGACACAACAGCCTTTGAGAAAGATCTGGAGGATGACAGATAGTATGTCCTTGTGGCAGCACTAAAGGATACAGGGTCCTTCGTCTAGGGGACCTCACCTCCCCTTTAATCAGACGCTCCAAGTCTATGGATTGGCTTATATCTGTAAACTGTGTGAAAGGTAGTAACTCTCCATTGTGATGACTCAAGTCAGGTTTCTGGCTCCAGACATGGAGTTTTTCCTTCTATGTAGTTCATGTAGCATTTAGTAGGCTGCCCATCTATTTTATTCCTAGAGACACTATAATGCATTAGCCACTGCCAAAAATCCTTGTAAGCCAAAACATTCTCTGCTTTATCCTCCACTGCCCATTACGGAGCATATGTCCACCTCAACTCCTGTGGGGTGCCACTGGACCTCAAGTCAGGAGCTCCCACCATCATAAACAGCCTACAGAGAACAGAGATTTTCAAGGATACAAGTCTCCTCCCAGCAATTTATTTCTCAGTGCCTTCATGAAAAGTGTATCTTCTGCACAGTCTTAAAGGACGCAGTGGGGGGGGGGGGGGGGGGGCGGTGTGCAGCTTGCACATAATAAATCCAGTCCAATATTCCTATCTTTCTAAGCCTTCAGATTCCTTCCTCATTATGCCAGGAAAGTTCTAGCACCTCAACCTTATTACATATAGGCCACCACTGAGTCCAAGTTTCAGTCAACCAAATCTGAGTTAATACCTTAGATTCAAAATTTCTTGAGAACACACCCAGATCAATAAATTTTATCTGGGGCACCTGGGTGGCTCAGTTGGTTAAGCATCAGACTCTTGATCTCAGCTCTGGTCTTGATCTCAAGGTCATGAGTTCAAGCCCTGCCTTGGGCTCCACACTGAGGGTGGAGCCTACTAAAAAATAAATAAAGAAAAGAAAGAAAAGAAATAAATACATTTTATCTGATTTAGTGTTACATTCTATCCTTCCTGGCCTGACCTATTTACAACCCATTCTCACAGATACTGCTCCTTCCCAATGATACAAATTAGTAAAATTTTGCAAATCTTTTAGAGGCTAGGCTCTTTCCAACCAGGTTGGATTTTGTCCCTGTCCTTTGGAGCATGAAGAGATCTGGGCCTCATAACAAAAGGTTATAGAGATAGGTCTTGAGTATAAACATCCTCTGCAAAGCAATTACTCTAGGAAAGGTTATTACAGGACCCTCAAGCCAAGGAGGGACAGTTTTTTGGACATGGAAAGCTAAGCAGGCTGCTTCCATGAACAAAGGAGAGTCAGAATGACTGGGGTTTCAAGACTCTCAGTTTTATCCAAGTCAACTTGGATGTTCGCATTCCAAGTCTCAGGTCTCTGGTTCTTTCCACTCGGTGCCCTAAATGAGACATTGACAAGGTTGTGTAATTCTATTACCAGTGCAATTAAAACTGTGTTCAATGTTTAGTTCTGTGGCTACATGAAAGAAAGTGCTTTAGAACCCAGACCCTCTCTAATTCTCTAAGAATTGACCTGGGTGTTTTAAGATCATAGCTTATCATTTTATTTTCGTAAAGGCTCCAGTGATCTCAGAAGGAACCATCCCACCCATCCCTCAGTCCTTACAGTCAAAAAGTCCTTTAGCCACTAGGTCCCCCAAACACTTCAGAAATCATTTTATCACAATCAATCAAAGGTAGTAATCTGATGAATCGTGATGCCAATACATGCCATGGATTACTAGAACCTTATATCCTGTTGGCAAGGAGCTGAAGATGTGACCAAGGTAATCCCTGAAGCCCATCTTTGAGAGTTTCTCCCCCGAGATCCCAATTATAGTAACAATTTCTTTATTAATACCTTTTATAAGTCCAATCAGGAGACAAAAAACACACCAGTTATTTTAACAGAGGGCATTTAATATGAGTAATTGTTAACCACATGCTAAAGAACTGAAAAAGCTAAAAGGGGACGGTGAGTATCGAAGTAGTACCAGTAGGAAGCAGCTATCACTCCAAAACAGGAATAAAGAGAATTACTACAGCTGAGAAATTTGGAGGAAGGACTGCCATGGAGCTGGGACTCAGATCTGAGGAAAGGGTATTGATATCTTTGAAGGGGTGTGATAGGCTGGTTCTAAGAGAGTGGAAAACTACAAACTGGAGAAACTGGGGCCAACTGTTCATGCCAGAGTGAGGCACTATCACTGTGGTCAGACAGACAAGAAAAAGAAGCACACAGGAAGCAGCAAGCCCTTTTGTCCTCTACCCTTCCACTCTCCCTCCCCTGCTGGCAAAGCCTGCTAGGCAGCCAGCTAGCAAAGAAGAAATGTGGTTTAGAGGTTCTGCTCCAGATTCACAAAACAGAATCTAAAGGGGTGCTATGAAGCTGAGGGACAATAGCTTAATAACCTGTAGTCAAGAGGAAGCAGGGAGCAGCTGCAGAGTCAGGGTACCTGATTATCTGAAACTGTTAAAGGACATGTGGCATTTTGGTCTCCTTTCTGCACAGTGCCTGGCAAATAGCAACAGCTTAATAAATGTGAGCTATTAGAGCTCACGAAACCACCAAGGAGTTAAATAGAAATACCATACTTCAGTGGCATGATTCTTTGCTATTGCTATTGGGATTCCAATATTCAGATGTTCTTGTTCTTTCTCCACCCCCACACAGTGCAAGCAGACAAGGAGAACAGTAGAAAGAAGCAGTGGGGGGAAAAATTAGAGCAGTGCTGAGGTAATGGCGAAGACACGAAACCAATAGGGATTATATTTTGGGAGGTTAAAAAAAAAAAAAAAGACAGGTGAAAAGCATAGTGGATTCATGGGTTTACCTCCTGTCTGGGTACTATTAGAAAGTTGCTTTTATGAGATCTAGATGGTTTTCTTTGTTTCTACTCAATGTATCTGTTGCCTTGGCTTAGGTTAGCAAATAAACACTAGTAAAAAGTTTATCTATATGGACAAAGTTAACCCAGCTAAAGGGAATGGTTAGATTAGGTTCAAGATAACTGGTTAGGCCCAAATCAGAATGAAAGTGATTGGCACTTACATGGTCTTGGGTCCTCAGCAATGCTTAGCCCAGACTTCCAAAAATTCTACAGGTATCTGGCCTTCCACCCCTCCAAAGTCATACCCAAATGGAGGGGTTATGTGATCATTAAGTTTTCAAAACAAGTCTTAAACTTGGCAGAGCCAGAATTTGAATCTAGGTCTGTCTGACTCCAAAGTGTCTCTTAACCACTACAAACATGAGGTTCCTGACTACCCTTACCCACAGATGTCACCATCATTGTCCATCTGATCCTCACTCATTTTCCTCTTCCCAATATTATAGATAGGTATCTAAGGTATCTAATTAGCTGTCCTACAGAAAATTAAAATTTAAGGATATAATGCAATGATCAACGAGTTACCTATTTTCCTGAATGGGGGAAAATTACATTTCTTTAAGAGAATAACCTTAACATTATAGTCATTAAGAAATCTTGTGTTCGGGCACCTGGGTGGCTCAGTTGGTTAAGCGACTGCCTTCTGCTCAGGTCATGATCCTGGAGTCCAGGGATCGAGTCCCACATCGGGCTCCCTGCTCAGCGGGAGTCTGCTTCTCCCTCTGACCCTCCCCCACTCTCATGCTCTCTCTCTCATTCTCTTTCTCTCAAATAAATAAATATCTTTTTAAAAAATTTAAAAAAAAAAGAAATCTTGTGTTAAGACTGCTTTACTCACTTAGGCAACCAAGTTGCAAATTCCAATTACAAACTTTCTTGAAATGAACAATAAACAACAATAAAATCTGAGGTGTCAATAACAAATTGCGTAAGACTGGTCTTAATCTTCTCCCACCCACAAACAAGGAATTTTGTGCTCTACAGCAGGCAGGGTGAGGGGCAGTATGGACATACTAAGACTGGGCTTAGTTTTTAAAGATGGCATATAGTTTGAGAAATTAACAAGGGCTTGTTTCCTTTCTGTAAAGTAATCCTATATATGTGATCAAAGCTTATTTTAAGATTTGTTTTACACAGGCTGGTCTATTCACTAACACGCTTCCTCTGTCCCTCTGCTCATGTTGTATCCCTGAAATGCCTTCTATTCTCTATCATACACACTTAACTTCATTTGTTTCTCAAAACACCGATTCTTCAAAATCCAGCTCATGTCTCTCTCCGCAATGGATGAATTAGTAAGATGGTTTCAACTAGCCGTATTTATAAGGCTTCTCTAAACATGATACAATGGCTTCTCCTCAAGAGAGAAATTTTAGAATCTCTGAACTAGAAAAATTGCTCAGGGATTATCTAACAGTCTATTCTCCTTGTCTCCAATGGGTAAACTGCCCCTACCCGTTAATGTAACTTATCTCAAAGGTCTTTTCCAGCTCTAAACTTACGGCTTCATAGTTCTATCGACTAAATATTACTTCAAAAGGCGTGGAGTATATCTAGAAACCATTAAATTCCCAAACGGTAACGGAGTTCAGTTAGAAGTTACGCTACAGATCTGAGGTCAAGTGCTCGGTTCTGGTCAGAACAACAATCAACTGTGTTTACTGTCCACGTCTGTGCACTGTACCGCCGGTGACTGATTCACTCCGGGCACACAGTAGGCCCCAATCCGGGACAGAAGCCTGCTGGTCAAGCACTCGATCCCAACACCGAGACGAGGCCCTCACTGACCGCCTTATCTCTTAGAAACAAAGCTGGGTAAAATACCTCAATCCGGCACCACCCCCCGATACCCGCTGCGACGGGGACGGCACAGTGATGCAGAGCAGTGATGCAGGTGCACAACGCACCTTGTTTTGCTCCGGGAGCCAGTCGGAGTTCGCGGCACCAGCTCCCCCACAGCCCCAGGAGCGCCAGCTTAGCATCTCCCCCGGCTCCGACAACCCCCCCTCCTCCGCTGCTCTCCGCGACCCCACTGCCCCAGCGGTCCGCCCCTTGTTTCTAACCATGGGGCACTTACCATCCCAATACCAGGCCGGTGGTCACGATGAAGCAGGTAAAGACCACCGCGATGTAGAAAAGCGGCGAATACTCATACAGCGTTACCAGAAATACCGCAGCCATCAGGATGTCCTAAACTGAGCCGAGCTTCAGCCGCCCAGCGCAGCCCACCCGGCCGGTGTCAAAGCCACTACGGTGCCTCAGAGCTGACAAACTTCGTAGCTACGCACTCGCCCGGGGTTCTAAGGCTAGACGTCAGGGCAACCTCGCCGGCCGCGGGAGCCAGAGTGCCAATCACGACGACGCCTGCAGGGCTCGCCCCGCCCCTACCGCTCCAGTCCCCAGCTATTGGCTTCGCAGAGGGGCGGTGCCCAGACTGGACTCACGGGATTGGTACCCGGAGAGCGTCTGTGTGTCCTAGCGGTCAAGGCTTTTCTGCGGCAAATTCTAAATACGCATAGCGGCCAAATCTGTCCAAGGATCAGGTAAGGTTTTCTGATGACACAGAGAGGAGGCACAGTCCGAAATCCACGTCACAGAGTCTAAATCCCGCATCTTGGATCCGCGGCAAATTTGAGAGGAGGAGAAGAGCCGTCATCTTGGGTTCTACAAAGTGAAGTAACCTCACACCTGCTGTTGTTTTATCTAGAAAAGTTACATTTAGACACTACGGAAGACCAAAAGGAGTCTGACAAGCAGTTTATACGAAACTTGTCGGCCTTTTCAAGTTGGATATAATGATAAAGGAAAATTAGCATTGCGTATCAAGATTCTCATAGAAGTAAATCAACTGTCCTCCCACATTCCTTTCTTTTTCTCCTCCCCCTACCTCCTTCAAATTAGAATTAGATATTTGAACTTTTTTGTATTAATTTTTACTTTAATAATAATTTTTAATATATATGTGTGTGTATATATATATGTATATGTGTATATATATATATATACACATATATATATACATATATATGCCTTTAAGAAAGGAGCGAAATGCTCATCCCCCTCTCCTCATCCCCATTCAGCCAGCCCCATCAAGGTAGCCTCCCTGGAAGTCCCTCACACCTCCACTGACAGCTCATCGGTTTGGGTTTAGCCCTTGGCCACACGCAGTTACCACAGAGACAGGTAATTTAGTCTTTTATTCTGAGCAGCAAATCACTAGTAAAATTAATGTTGGAGAAAGATGAGCTAAATTTGTTCTATGGCTTCACATATCTCTTGGCCAATGACCATGTGTTGTGTACTCTCTGGAGTAGTGCTGTGTAAGCAGCTTGGTTCAACAACATAATTTTTGATAACTATCTATATGATTTGTGAAAGTATATAGTTTATTGTTGGACAGTTTTTAAAATTATAAACAACACCGCAATGAACATTCTTAAAGCTAAATCATTTCCTTAGGTGAATTCCTAGAGGCGGGACTTTTAGTTCAAAAAGTATGCACATTGTAAGCCTTTAGGGAAACAATGCTTCTCCAGAAATATTATACCGATTTATGCTCCCACCCTTTCATCCGCAGTTTTGTGATCATTTGATATTGTCACTTAAAAAGCTTGGCCAATGGGAAAGGCAGTTTTATTGCAATAAGCAATAAAGAGTTTTCATAATGAAAACAGGGAATTCCAAGTTAAAGTGGCATATTATACATATGCCTATAATTTTGCTCTCTCCCCAAACTCCACTAAAACTACAGTAAAGGGATGTAAAAAATAAATCAAAAACAAGAAGAGGAAATAACATAACAGAAGCACATATTGGAAGATGGAAAGCAGCTGAACAAGGATAATTCACTAACCAGCCCATGAAAGTCAAATCCCAAACCAGCAGTGGAGCAAACTGACTCAACTTGATTTACACTGAAGCATTCTCAAAAAGAACATGAACTATCACAAATTTAACTCAAGCCTTTATTTCCCATTTGGATATCTGATACAACAATTCCAACATGTCACTTTACTTCCAACATTGATTCTTTCTAACACATAATACACGATACACAGTGCAGGCAAAAATTATTTTTTCACATGTATCCTTTATTTTTAAACATGTTCCATTTCATTCCACCACCCCAAATCCTTGATTGCCATGCTATGTATCCTTGAGGATGAAGTCTTAAGTTCCTTGTTTGACATAGCCATCTCTACATGATCTGACTCCCACTTACTTACTCAGTTACAAAATATTTGTTTTGTGTCAGATATGTGCCAGACCCTGTAGAAGGCATTAGGGATACAATAATAAGCCAAAAATGACATATCTCTGTTCTCATGGAATTTATCATCTAATGGAAAAGATAAACATTAATCAAAGAATCTTGAATAAAATATAAAGGCAAAATTATAGTAAGTGCTATTAAAAAGAGGTACATGGAGCTAGAGGGCATATAATGGGAGACTAGTGAAACATAAGGAAGATCAGGAAAATCTTCCCTGAAAAACAGATGATTGAGCTGAGAGCTGATGGAGAGAGATTTACCAGGCAAAGGGACAGGAGGGGAGAAAGCATTTAGGACAGAAGCTCTAGCATGTGCAAAGGCCCTGAGGTGGGAGAAATCATAGCACACCTGAGAAAATGAAAAGCCAATATGACTAAAGCATGGAGAGTGAGAAAGAGCATGCTAGGGGATGAAAAGGAGAGATAGGTAGGGCCCAGACCATACATGAGTCTTGCTATTTTAACTACTCAACTGTACCCTTAGAGCAATGAGAAGCCACTGATATGATTGAAGAAGGGGCATTTTATGGACTGAATTGTGTCCCCCCCAAATTAATATGCTGAAATTCTAGTTTCCAATGTGATTGTATTTGGAGATGTAGCCTTTAAAGAAGTAATTAAGGTTAAGTGAAGTCATAATGGTAGGATGCTAATTCAATAGGAGTAGTGCCCTTATAACAAAAGAGAGACACCAGAGATCACTTTCTCTATGCAGGTGTATACAGAGAAAAGTCTGTGGGAACAGTGAGAAGGCAACCGTCTGCAAATCAAGGAGAGAGTTCTTTCCAGAAAGCCTGCTGGCACCTTGATCTTGGACTTCTCACCTCAAGGACTGTGAGAAAATTAATTTCCTTTGTTTTAACCACTTGGTCTGTGGTACTCTATTATGATAGCCAGGCAGACTAATACAGGGAGTGACATTCTGTTTGCATTTTCAATCACTTAGGCTATTGTGTAGAAAACTTATTGGAAGGAGGCTGGGATGGATATAAATGAATATGGGGATATCAATTGACAGATTCTTTAAGAAGTCCAGGTAAGAAGTATTGGTAACTCTGATTAGGATAGTGACGAGGACTTGCAGTGAAGTGGATTATTAGTCAGAAATTATTGCATTTGTAAGTGACAAAACTCGAAACAAAACAGTAAATCACTTGAGATAGAGATGTATTTCCCTTTCAGGCAAAAGTCTGGAGGTAGGTCAATGCAGGACTGATACGGTGCACAGTGCAAGGGAACCAGGCTTCTATTTTGCTCCACGATGTGTAGCCCCCATTCCTAAGGTTGCCTCATGGTTCAAGATGCTTGTTGCAGCTCCAGCCATCATTTCCACATTCTTGCTAGCAGGAAAGAGGACAGAGAGAGAGAATGAGATGATACTTCAGTTTAAGGAAACTCTAAGGAGGCACCACTCATTCCATTGGCCACAACTCAGCCTCATGTCCACCTTTAACTGGAAGGAAGGTTGGAAAATACAGTCTTTGTTCAGGGCAGCCACCTCTGCTGTTGAATACTATCGCTCCTGTTCAAGGTGGTACAGAACCAAATGCAAATCCTCTCTCTCATTATTATTATTTTTTTTTTAAGGGAGAGAGAGGGAGGGAGGAGGGTAGAAGGGACAGAGGGAGAGGGAGAGAGAGAATCTTAAGCAGGCTCCACACCCCAGCGAGGAGCTGGACAATGATGTGTGGCTCTATCTAACCCAACCCTGAGATCAGGACCAGAGGCTAAATCAAGAGTCTGCTGCTTAACTGACTGGGCCCCCAGGCGCCCCTCCTTGCCTTCTTTGTTAAAGAGAAAGTGGACTACCAATTTCAGTCTTTTCAGCTTCTCCAATATCATACCTATTTAGATGCTTTACTCCAACCCCTTCCAGCACCCACCCCCTTCCCATTCTGAGACTGCAGTCTGAAGGGGAAGCCAGAACCTCAGTACAGTATGGCCTGCTGCACTTAGTCAAGCCCCACCTAATTGCCACGCACCAGCACACTGGAAGGGAAAGACTTCCCCTCCTTCCCACTCGGCAGATACAGGCCTTCTGTCCTGGCCCCGGTTTCCTCTCCCACATGGCATAGGCTAAATGCCATTTTTAATTTTGCCCCGGTCTGGATTTTGAAATGTTGGTAGAGCTTTAAAATTTTATAAAACCTTTCTCGGTAGTGTCTGGCTTTTTCTAGATTTACTGTGTTTCTGGGGATTCAAAAATCCTATTTTGGTAGCCAAAAGCTGCTTGCTTTCTTCTGCATTCCTAACATCACAGTTCTATTTATCCTTTGAGGCTTATTCATGCTTCTGACTGACCAAGGAGAAGGTCTCATAAGAGAAATGCAAGCAAATATTAACGTGTTTTTAAAAATTATTATCTGCATCGCACAATTTTCTTGGCGCTGTTAACCCTTTCATTTTATATGGTCTTTCTATAGCCTACATTATTTCTTGGAAGGGCAAATTTGTCTATTGTGAAGACACCAGTAGAAACATAATAAGCATCATAACTCTGAGTTTCAAACTTTGAGACAACTATTGCCCAACAGAACTGAATGAGTGTGCAATTGGGTATAATCCCATAGATGACAGGAATTGTGAAAAATCTTGTATGTAGTACCTTGGCAGAACCTGACTCCTAGTAGCCCACTGAACTTCCAAGTCCCTCTAGTAAAAACCTCTCATGGTCTTAGCTGTTGGGCTTCTGTCATCTATATATACTATGTGACAGGAGGCTACCTGAAGCTCACTCCAACTGAGCTGACACTGATGACTTATGTGGTACATGGTCTGTGGCCCAAAGCTTAGGACATTCATCTAGGACAGTGGTTCTCGACTGGGGTTGCTTTCCCACCTCTGTGCCCTGGCAACATTTGACAATGTCTGGACACATTTTGGTTCCCATTGGGGGAGGAGCTACTGGCCTCTAGAGCAATCCCCCCCCCCCCACACACACACCCGAAGCCCTGCATGACATTTGGTATTCTGCTAAACACCCTACAATGCACAGCACAGTGCACCCACAACAAAGAATTATTTAAATCCAAATGTCAG